CAAGGTCTTACAAGACGTGTTTCACCTGGGCACATTCGATAGTGATCCGGTAGAAGACACATTCGCTCACATTGTGCTTTAGTTAATCTATTTTCTCACTGGTTACTTCCTTCAAAAGCTTCAATTTGCCTTTAGTCCAGATCAGGCATGCAACCATCCCAAGCTGGGGCTCGCTGATCGGCAGCGAACATGTTCGGTTGTGAACCGTTCGGTGAACGAATATGTTCGGTAACAAACCGTTTGATGAACGAACATGTTCGGTTGCGAACCGTTCGGTCACCGAACTATCGATTTGGTGCATGCCTAAGTAAAACCTTAGATTACATATGGTATATGAATTTGATGTTCTAGTTAACATGTAGATAAAATTGCTCCTATTACAATCCACGTTCAGCATCGAAACCGCTCGATCTTACTATCGCATAACGTTGTCGTATTTTACACTTTACTGCAAAAATATATAAAAATAAGTTAAAAAGTGAACTAGATCATCTTTAATTTAAAAAAATCAATGTATATTTTGTGCTTCTATTTTGAAGTACTGTTAATAAAAGAAAAGAAAAAAAATGATTACTTACGGCAATAATAAATAAAATGGTATCGTGTGACAATTCGATTTCATTATATATGTACATAATTATGTTTTTGATTTAGGAAAAAGTATGGATTCCAAATATTATTAAATTCAGACATGCTTTTGTCCTATATTTTCGTTTTTATAAAAAATAAAATGATCGTAATCTCGTTAAAGCGAAAATTCATCAACATCACAATATTTTTCTTTATTTCTGATAGTTAAATAGCAAAGATAGATCAAACCCAAATTGTTCTACCGTTGCAGCAGTAGATTACAATATGTCGGTGTCAGACAATGAATGGTCGGATAGTGGGAGTGAATATTTCGAAGAATTAGGTAAGGAAATATCGACATGATTATCGCAGATATATTCGAGGAAAAACTCTATATTTAGAATCATTGAAAAACCTTTCAGCAAAATCAACAACAGCACCGACCTTATCAATTTCTCATACGAATCCCGTATCGAGCGTGAGGGGATCTCATGTGTCGAGTAAGTCAGGCAAAGCAACATCAATACATCAGCCGAACAAGAAATACACACCGTATCGCAATAATACAATGCAAAATGGACATGTTAGCATTATGTCAAAAAACCTCGCTGCGTCAACACCTCTGTTGGTGATTCCACCACCGTTTAGTACCAGTAACGATCTGCATCGAACATCCACTCCATATCAATCAAGCTTAACGAATTGTAAGTTAGAAAAAATTTCCTTTCCAGTCAGATAGTGTCTGCTTTTATACGAAATTAATTTTTCACCTGATATTCATTTAAATCAGTGAGTAAATTTAGTTTCAATTGACCAATGATCAACTGCTCTCAGTCAGTTCTCATTGACGAAACTTGTTTTAACATCGTTTTTCTCTCGTTAACGTCTTTCATACATATGTTTTCTTTCGACATTTCGATACTAGTTTTCAAGGGTGTATTATGCAAACTCAGTCAGTTTCTTTCAGCTGTTTAACTTAACTAGATGACAGGTATTAATAAAGTACATTTTCAATCGATAGATCGGTAGCAAATTGCAAAGGAAATGGTGCCTATACCCTCCCTCCATTTACTTTTTTTTTACATTCTTCTTGTTGTGGGTAGCGTGGGAATGTGAAATCACTAAACTAGACCTTGGACATTTTTAATATTAGCAAAAGATCAATATTTTTTAGAGAACGTGGGTCGCTCCTTTCGAAAGTGCACTTTTTCAGTGAAACTTTAGTTATAAACTTACACATGGTTATTTTTTGAATGAAACTTTGTATATAGAAGCAGATACATCTTAAGAATATATTGAACAAATCAGAAAGGCATTCCATATAGTATAGCATATAGAAAAATTGAAAAAATGACGCTTCAGCCATTTCTACAGTAAGTTGGAAAACTCACTAGAAATCACGTAATGATTGAGAATAAAATTTGTTTTTCTCCGCAAAGTTCATCATCATCATCATCAGTCGACTGCAAACAACTTTGGCTTACAGGCGTCAACAGGACAGTCAACAGGCCGTTAAGGACAGTTGTGATTGCGCTCTTTCGAGAATTCCTTCTAATAAGGCAATGTCGTCTGCAAAGTCCAGGTCGAATATTGTTGTTACGGCTTGACGGCTTGATTGCCTGAGGTTGGTAACAAATCCATGTTCACCTTTGTTCTTACCCTGTTGTATTATGTGTTTTAGCTCGGCATTCTTGAGCACGTAATCGATAACGATGATGAAAAGGAAGGGCGCTAATGTGTCGCCTTGTAGGACGCCAGTAGTCACGTCAAATTCTTCTGACAGCTTCCCTTCCACTAATACTGCACTTCGGGAATTGTTGTATATGATTTTGATTGCTCGGACTATTTTGCTTGGAATTCCATAGTGTCGCAGTATTCCGAACATCGCTGCTCTCTTGATCGAGTCGAATGCCTTTTTGAAGTCCACGGAAAAGGAGATCAATATGATTTGAACAGCATATGTAGCCTATATCTACTAGTTCCTGCATGCAAATCTTGAAGTATATATACCTATACAAAGGCTTTAGAGAAAAATAAATTTTATTTACAAAGGTTACATAATTTCCAGCTCGAACATGCGAAAAAAATCACGAGAAATTTTGCAACCTGCTGCAGAACATGATCGGCACCAAGGTGCTTAATGACCGAGCCAGCTTGGCAACGAGCTGCTTGATGATGGAGTTACCGGATTAGTGCATGCCTAATGGAGATCACATAAGGCCCCTCTCCCCGTCAGAAACACAAATTATTTTTATAAAAACTCGATATGGAGCTAAACATATCATCAGATAACGCATGCTGTCTATTATCAGTATCCATAGCTATTTGGTCTCCATCCAAGGGATATGGAGGCTTTTAGAAAAGTTTTCTGAAAGCCTTAAAAAACTGACTTTTCGGAAAATGTCACCCTCTGATAAAAAAGTGAATCAATAATACTTTTAATGATACTGGGATGTAGAATTAACATTTCTGACCAAAATGAGGCATTGTCCCGCTCCGGATGATGTTCTAATCAAAAGTTATGAGAGTTTCGCCAGAAGCCCTAAAATAGGCATCAGACACTAACGCCACCGTATATCGAAAGCGGCGTTCATCTTGACAGCATTTCGTAGCTGCATCCCTTTATCACTTGTTTTTGCATCAGCATCACTTTATCTTCAATTCAAAGTCATGGAAGGTCGTTCACAAATATAAGTTGCCAAAGTCCAGAGACCGAGCAAGTGCAGGTAAGCGTTACCTTGTAGTTTAGAGTCGTACATGAGCTGCCGAGATAAATTTAATGGAGCTTGATTTTTATGTCGATAGATATTTTGTATTTGTTCGGAGATTTTTTTGCTTTTTTCTTGTTTAGTCATCGTTTTTGCAAAAAGTGAGTCGTATGATCTAGAGAACTACGTAACGTAGAGACATTCGGAAAACGGGAGATAGCTTTTTGGGTACTGAATGTGGACCGATTCATGTTCTGTTTTTAACCCTTTCGTTACGGGGCCCGTATATATACGGGCTGAGCTTTTACTGATACCAGTGTCCTCATAATTTCATTTAAACTCGATCTAACATCACTTTCTTCCTTTTTCTTATCTCGCCAACATTACTGCATCATTGCTATGCACCACTATATGTATCTTCGTGCTTCTTCATATACTAGCTCTCGCATTCTAACATGTACACTTCGGACATTCTACGTTCTTCTAATATATTCTTTCCTCCTCCTTTTCGTTTTTTTTTCATATAAAAAAATCACAAAATTCAAAGACGTCCTTAGTATTATATACGTGTCGTTCTACATAAACAAGTTACTACTCATATTATTTTATAAAACCTTTTGGTGAATATGGCAATGCATACAAATGATGATTCTGATGAAATTCTGATGGATAGCGAATCTGAAGATGATGATGAAATGGAAATTTATGAAATTTATTCATTAGATGAAAGTGCAATAAATCTGTCTCTAGAAAATAGTTGTCCGAACATAGGTGTGGCAATCATTGGATCAGTGGACTAATAGTCAAGCATCTTATTCTTTTTGGTTACAGACATCAGCATGATTGTAGCGAGAAAGGTATACATTTCAGAACGGTTCGTTGAAAGCCACTTTGCTTGATGAGAAGCTGTATTATGTGTCGCATCGCCAGTACAAAAGTCATGATAGTTGTTCGTTTCTTCAACAGTTAAGTCGATCATTTTTTCATCAAACAATAATTCGAAAAAGTCAAGAGCAGTAAGAATATATTATAATATATTAGAAGAACGTAGAATGTCCGAAGTGTACATGTTAGAATGCGAGAGCTAGTATATGAATAAGCACGAAGATACATATAGTGGTGCACAGCAATGATGCAGTGTTGGCGAGATAAGAAAAAGAAAGAAAGTGATGTTAGATCGAGTTTAAATGAAATTATGAGGACACTGGTATCAGTAAAAGCTCAGCCCGTATATATACGGGCCCCGTAACGAAAGGGTTAAACCACCGCGAGATGAGTTTCAGAAGTGGAAGAAAAATGTGTCTTGGACCTCGAACGTTTCCATTGTTAATAGTTTGTCCGACGTCATATTTTTTTATTTGTAGGCAGAATTGAGAAACGAATCTGTCTACATATGTTCTGTTTCCACATACATACATACATCTAATAAAAGGTATACTGAGCGATTACTAGTTCTTTAAAACATAGAAGACACACCGAAGAATGATTTTAAAAGTTTGTTTATTGATTGCTGACACGGTTTAGAATAATCACAATATAAGAAGAAAAAAGGACCGATAATTACTCTGCTGAAATTTTCACCAGCCTCTTTATAATATTTACTAAATCTAATCTTTTATGTATTTGTCGAAAGGATGGTTAACTTTAGTGTTATGTTATCTAAGCAATATCCTTAAAAGTTTGCTGGTTTTCTCGCTAATTGATACTTTGAAAAGTTACTGCTTAAACACGTGCCGTAATGTTCGCTAACACTAAAATATCAAAATTCCGGCTTTATTAGCCTCTAGTCACCTGTGTTTTCGTCATTTTAAGACCTTCCCGGGATCTCCAAGATCTTGCGTTGCCAAGAAATATTGCAGTTGTGAGCAGTCGAACAACCCCTTAAATTTATTATCATTGACTCAAAACACAAATACTTTTAATATTTTATTGCTATTGATAATTGCTGTATTTGTGTTAAAAGAAATAGACATATTGTTTGTTGCTTGATGCCAAGGTAATCGTGGGTATAGACGACTTCGTATGCATTCTTATCCTGTTCATTTAAACAATTAAGCATGAGATCAAGTGTTTGCAATGAGCTACAACACTATTAAGGATTTAAAGCGGATCGATTTAGATGAAGCTTTTCCCTCATTTTACTTTTACAACAGGAAGAAGAAAAAAAAGTATGAGTGCGGTAAACAGATCACAATTAGAAAACAACATTTAATAAAGTAGATAATAAACAATCAAATAAATAAGGGGAAATGTGAAACAGTATATGTAAAAGATTTTCATGTAAACCATTTTGTTCCTCTCACATAACTGTGTATGTATTCGACAAGAAGAGTTTTGTCTGCTGCAGGCAGTACGGCCGAAGTTTTATAGTTGGGATATTTTGATTCGTATTACCTGAGTCTTGTATTAGATTGCGAACGTTAGTCAGTAAAGTATCGCGAGTGTCCATATAAGAGTACAATGTATGAAAAAATGGTTTGATGCATCTGAAAAATTTTAATCAGAAGTTTGGATTCTGGTGATATTTTACTTCAACGGAGAGTCCCTTAAAATACTAATCTCATACAACGCCGCTGTGTTTATACGTCTGTCAGATAAATCGTAGTATTAACGGGTGACCCATAAATAATCTCAGTATTTTGCTCATAACTTGACTGAAGTTTGATTTTACAGTTAGATAGAGAAGAGCAAAAAATTATTTTGAAAAGCTTTTTCCATAGGGTGAAAATGCTAATGAAGTCAAATCATGGTAGAACCTTTACAAGTCGTACTATTATGCTTGTAATAAGATATTTCATTTTAGCCTATAGTAATGCTTCGATGCAGCTACTTGTTGGAAAAAAGAAGAAGGGTTTATTTAGCTTATTAATATCACCCGCTGTTGAAGATTCAAGTATTCCGAGGAATAGTCAGGAAAGAGTTATTCATAACAGAAGCAATGTTACTTCAAGTCGAAATGCAGAAGGTGGAACTCCTTCAACACCGCTTGGAAAACTGGTAAGATAAGAGCTAATTATAAACAACTGTTATTGTTTGTGAATAATGCCTTAGGAAATGTGGCTTTCCAAACCATTGTGCATGGGAATGAATCGGCTAAATGGAACAATATTATTCTGCTTCATGATATTTCTTGGTTTAGGAAGTTTTAGTGGACTGATTGCCAGTCTTGTACTATATTTACAAGGTAAATCTTACAACGCACAGAACACTATCATCTTTCATAAACCCGGCAAGCAAACATTTAATTTTTCACTTGTTCAAGATCGTGTAACGGATGCTCAGTGGAAAATACTCGGTATAGTTGTATGTGCACTTATGTTAACAACGGTCGCACTAGCGTTTCTGACACACATCTATTGTTATAAGAATGGTTATATGCTTAGTGAAGGCGACTCATTTTATTCTGATGATGATGACTCAAAATACGAAAGTAAAAGCTCTACTCAGGGATCGAGATACAAATATAAGAGTCCGGCGGATCTGGCGCCTACGCAACTGACACCTGGTTCACTATCCATTGGAATCACAGATAAACAGACGAATACAGTGAGAGCACTGATTGCTCACCCGCTGGAGCAAGAAATCGTTGAAGACATTGATACTCCCTGTTTACCGATTCATGTTATTCAAAAGCCAGAAGATATAACACATACTGAACTGCGGGGTACCCGTTCATGTCAATCCGTCAGTGAATATCTGCCTGAATCACTCGAAAATTTTATTCTGCGAAATACAACGGTTATCCATGTTCCAAAATCATCTTCAAAGCAAAATGCACTGGTAACTCCGCTGTCGAGATCATCTTCAAAACCTCAAGTGAAACGTGTCGTTCGTGTTCGATTGGAAGCACAAAAGCAACAATTCCTCGATGAAATCAAACTATCAAAACATCGTCAACAAGTTGAAACAATCGAACTGGCTCAGCGAGACAAGAGCACAACATATTCGAAGTACTGCGAAGACATATAACACCGTCGCAATAAATATTCAAAAAGTTACCGTTTGTCAATCAGAGAATTCAAGTACGATCGTTGTTATAGAGGAACTACAGTAGATTAACTAATCATCGATAATGAAATATAAAACTGATTATTATAGCAACATCAATCTGTTGATTATAACATACTTTCTGAGTTTGAAAAACAGTTAAAAACCAAACAGGTTTCAAAGCTGTACATAAATTTTTGGATATTTTTTAAGCGATGTATAATCTATACAAAAGTTCTGAAAAAATATTAATACTCTTTCGAACGGTGCACTTCAAGTTTTAATTTTTATTAAGGCAAAAAGTTGAATTTCTTTTTAAAAATGTTGTGCTTAACAGGACGGGGCACGATAAGAGACAAAATCGGCCCACGCTCAAATCAGTCTTATGTTAACTCAACTGATGTAGTTTTTGTCCACGATTAACGCTAACATATTTTTAAATCTCAAAAATCCTTCTCACTGCCCCTAGAAA